AAGAGTGAGGTTTTCGGGGAATGGCTTGTTTTCTGGAAGGCAGCCCAGAGGTCTGCCCAAAGAGCGGAGGTTAAGTGCTGAATTCCAACGAGCTCGAGTTGCTCTGTTTGGAAATCTCATTCTGGAAAACCAAAGTCCAGCCCCTGGCTTTACACAGCAGGTCAAAGAGGGTGGGAACGCACCAGGGGGCCGGAGGGGGCTCCGGAGTGTAGGACAAGGAGCTCAGGGGAGGGACTGAGGGCATTTCTCCCTTGCAATGCTGCCTGGAAACTTTTTTTCGAACTGAGATCTTACTTGGGCTGAACTCTGAAGTCCGCAACAGCTACTGGGGGTCGAGGCGCGGGCTGGGGGGAGCGCTCAAATCCCAGTGCTCGGGTTTACCGGCTGGGCTGGGTGACTCCGCTGCGGCCCAGGGCGGGAGCGACGGTGGAGACAGGAGCAGGAGCGCAGGGAACCGGCACCGGGGAGAGCCGGGCTGGCGCGCCCCGTGTCCGGTCTCCTGGGCGGGTCGGGCACCCTTCCTCCGGTAATACCGCAGCGCCTCCTGGCTGGCCAGGAGCAAGTCTTCCGGGCCGAGCAGAGACGGCTCCTCCGGGACGTTGTACAGCGGGTGGGCGAAGAGGGCCTGCAGCTTGGAGCTCGGGCCGCGCGGGCGGGCCCCGCCTGTCTCAGCCCGGAGCCGGGCATGGGAAAAGTTGTGCACCACCGTGCGGGGAGCCGAGGGGGCGGCGGCCGAGTCCAGGTCCAGGGAAGAGGCGCGACCGGCGCACGGGCAGCCGGCCGGGCTCTCCCGGGGCCGCAGCTGGCGCTGCACTTGCGGCCAGAGGTGGAAGTAGAGGTCGGCGGAGAGCAGCGCGCCCAGCAGCAGCAGGGTCAGCAGGCGGTCCCGGCGCAGCCCCGGCATGGCCCGGCGCGGGCCAAGGCGGGGGCCGGGGGTGGGCAAGCGGTCTCCGGGGACCCGGGAGAGCTCCTGGGATGCCGGCAGCAGAAGCGCCTGGAGTATTGCTCACCACGAGAGAGAGCCTGTTTTTTGAGGGGTGTTGCCCCTGAACTTGGGGACCGGGTGCAGGGAGCTCCGGGGCTTTGGGTGCTGGAGGGCGTCGCTTCTCTGCGCAGAGTGAAGACTGGGGGATGTGGGCTCCTGGGCGCCTGCTTCTTGCGCGGTCTCTACCCTGCCCGCCCGCCTGGGCGCCCGCGGCAGGTGGAGGGCCCCGGGGTGCTGGCTG